GTAACCTCAGTTCTCAGGAGATGGAGACAGGAGGATTTGGTGTTCAAGGGCATCCTTGACTACATGGCAGGTTTGATCTTTTTCTTGGTTTTGCTGTCTAATATCCCCTTTATGGTACCAGGCAGTACAGTGAGACAGTCTGTCACACAATCCTGAAGGCAAGCAACCCATACCTCACAGTGTACCATGTTGCTAAGTGATGATGTTTACTGGTTAGAGATAGTCAATACATTTTTGGTCTATGATGAGTCAGTTTACATGGGACAAAGACACAGTTCCATTGTAAGTCAAGGGTGTTTATAATGCTATACAAAATGAACACACTTTTCTCCCACGAAGCTTACATCCTATTGGGGAAGTCAGATAAAAATTTAGTCATGAAGGTTGGGCAGGATGGTACATGCTTGCAATCCCAGCACTTGGAAGGTGTATTACATGTGTGTGCCATCACACCCAGTTTATCCAGTGCTGGGACCAACCCCAGGGCTTCAGGCAAGCTAGGGCAACAACTGGTCTACACTGTCAGCCCCACACCTATGTTAATTTCCTTCCTCTTTCATCTGATGTGTTCTCACTTTCCTATGGCCCACCTCTCCTTATACACTCTGCTCTGCTTGCATCCTCCCTGCTCCTTTCATGTATTCTTCCTTCCCTCCTTCCTTTCCGTCTGTCTTTCTTTTTTTTCTATTTTTTTTTAAGCACCATGGATTGAGAGACTTTATTTACTTTGGGAAGCATTTCTTTTTCTTTTTGAGACAGGGTTTATCTGTAGCTTTGGAGCCTGTCCTGGAACTCACACTGTAGACCAGGCTGGCCTCAAACTCCCAGAGATCCATCTGTCTCTGTCTCCTGAGTGCTGGGATTAAAGGTGTGCACTGACACCATCGGTTGGGAAGCAATTTTTTTTAAAAGATTTTATTTATTTATTATGTATACAACATTCTGCTTCCATGTATATCTGCACACCAGAAGAGGGCACCAGATCTCATAACGGATGGTTGTGAACCACCATGTGGTTGCTAGGAACTGAACTCAGGACCCTTGGAAGAGCAGTTGGTGCTCTTAACCTCTGAGCCATCTCTCCAGCCTGGGAAGCAATTTTTAAAAAGGATTTGTAGCTTGAAGTTTTTCTCTGTCTCGTCCAGTCCCACTAGACTGGTTTCTCTCCCGCCCACTGGTTCCCACAGCTGCTTATTAAATAGTTATTTTGAGACTTACTATTAATTATAAATGTTCAGCCAATGGCTCAGGTTTCTTACTGGATAGCTCTACCTAAAAATTAACCCATTTCTAATATCCTATATTTTACCACAATGCTCATGGCTTGTTACCTCACATCTGGCCTCTCTGGTGGCTACACAATGTCTCTCTGACTCCCTTCCTTCTTTTGGCATCCTTGTTTGGGTTTCCCAGCTGGTTGTATTCTGCCTGGCCATTGGCCAAATCAGTTTTATTCATCAACCAATAAAAGCAACACATATTCGCAGCATACAGAAGGATATCCCATATCCAAGGCTTTATTTTGAATTATTTATAAATGTGTGTGTTTGTGTGGAGGTCTGGGAACATGAATGCAGTTACCCTTGGAGGCCAGAAGAGGGTGTTCAATCCCATGGAGCTGGAGCTACAGGTGACTGAGCTATCTGATGTGGGTGCTGGGAATTACACTCGGCTCCTTTGCAAGAGCAGTATGTGCTCTTGCTTTTAACCACTGAGTCATTTCTTCAAACCCACTCTTTTATTTTAAATCATGTGTGTGTGTGAGTGGCTGGCCCTTGGAGTCCTCCTCTCCTCTTTCTTTTGTTCCTCTCAGCCTAGATTTCTCCTATTCTTTCTTTTCTCTGCAGCCCCACCTATCCTTCTTCTGCCCAGCTATTGGCTGATCAGCTCTTTATTAGACCAATCAGATGTTTTGGGTAGCCAAAGTAACACAGCTTCACAGAGTTAAACAGATGCAACATACAAGAATGCAACACATCTTTGCATCATTAGACAAATATTCCACAGTATAAACAAATGTAACACATCTTCAACTAATATTCCACAACACACTCCCATCACACACACACACACACACACACACACACACACACACACACACATTTTTAAAGTAAAACAAAACAAAAAAACCCTTAAATTGAACCTTTACCTTCTGATAATTTTTGACCTATTATATATGACCCTTTATACTCCCACAGATTTGTAAGTAATTTGTGATGGGGGATGTCCTTCTGTATGGTGTGAATATATGTTTCTCTTATTGGTTGATGAATAAAGCTGTTTTGATCAATGGACAGGCAGGATGTAGCCAGGCAGGAAGTACAGGCGGGGATACCAGACTAGGAGAGCGCTGGGAAGAGGAATTTAGAGGGCAATTCACCAAAGAGACACCATGTAGCTGCCAAGAAAGCAAGAGACTTGGGTATCACCTGTAAGCCAAGACCATGTGGAGATACACAGATGAACAGAAATGGGTTAATAATTAGAGAGCTAGCTAATAAGAAGCCTGAGCCATAGGCCAAACAGTTTTTAATTAATGTAAGTCTCTGTGTGTTTATTTGGGATTAAACGGCCGTGGGCTGGGACAGAAACTTCTGTCCACAAATTTGCAAGCTGAATGCTGACTCCTGTGCAAAACCAATTTGTAGAACTCAATCTTTTACACATCAACATCACAATGACTCTAATAATGTGTGTGTGTGGGGGCACAGCCTGCTCTCCCACTCTTACCAGTGAGCAATGCACTGGTTTTCTCTCTATCAATAAGTGATCTCACCAAACACTCAGACCCACAGTCATGCACACCAGGAGCCATCCCGGTCACTCCCCTTTTCTTGCTTTCATGTCTGGTTTGCTGGTAGATGTAATTTTAAACTCAAAAATTTATCACTTTTCTGTTCAGAATAGGATCCACTTCAGGCTATAATGTCTCTTAGATTTCTTTTCATACAACTATTGGTTTTTCCAGGATGATAACTTGTTGAAGTTTCCATACCAGTTATCCTCTAGAATATCACAGAATTTGTAATTGTGCTTGGTGTATTTCTTATACATTGTGTGTCTTGGAGGTGGTTCAGCTGTTAAGAGCACCAGCTGCTCTTCAAGAAGACCCAGGTTCAATTCCCAGCACCCACATGGCAGCTCATCGTTTCTGCACACCAGGCTCCAGGAGATCTGACGCCATCTACTGACCTCAGGGGCACCAGGCACAAATGTGGTACACAGATATATATGCAGGCAGAGCACTCATACACGTAAAAATAATAAAAAAGTTAAATACTGTGTTTGATAAGAAGGCTTGATAGATTCAAGTTAGTTTTTCGTGGGGTGTTTCATAGATGACATTGTACATTTACATCTGTTCCATCAAGACTGTCGAGGTGACTCAGCAAGTAAAGGTGCTTGCTGCTGCCAATGGTGATGACCTCAGCTCCATCCTTGATGCCCATATGGAAGAGAGAACTGACTCTGGAAGCTTTCTTCTGACCTCTGCATGCCCCCAAATCAATAAAACATAGTGAAAATATAAAACACTAAAAAATGTCAGGCTTGTCCTCCTGGAGGCCTTTATAAAACAGTTTACGTGTGTGTGTGTGTGTGTGTGTGTGTGTGTGTGTGTGTGT